ATGATCCCATGGGTAAATTTAGTGTGCAAAAATGGTAAAAGTAATCATGTAAACCTGTATTCTACTAAAACTAACTTTTACTCTAATGGTTAATTATTTTTATCGATTGTTATTGAGATTAATAATACTATATATATTCTTTTCAATATTTTTGTTATATAAATTCGAACTTACAGTGAGTATACAATTTGTTTTATTTAAAAGTCATCTGAAAGATATTCTATGTAAAAAAAAGGAACCAAAGTTTATTCTTCTATACAATTCTGACTTTTAATCCATCACTTCCACCTAAGTTTACGAGGCTTATCGTTCTATAATTCCAAGACACTCGGTACATTCGAGAAGCAAATTCAGCGCAGCGTGTTGTAGAAAAATGACGCGTGCTATTAAAGTTCGTAGGAAACGAAACGAAACTCGTTTCATTTTTGCGGTGTGACTTATGCAGTGACACACGATCGCAAGCCACAATAAATTCATACTCATTTCAACGTTTATGCAAATAGCGTCGGCGCGGTCCTGTATTCGATAATAATTCCATATCTCTACAGCACTGTTTCGTGGCACCTTTTCGTCCGTTTTTAGATTACGTAAAACTATAGACGTCTTTAGAAGTCGGTCTCCTATCTCGACAGAAAAATCTGACTATCATCATTAGAAACGGGGCGCGTTCGTGAAGGTCGGTGAAAGAAAAAGGAGAAATGAACGCGACGACACGGGGGATAATACAAAAAGAATGAAACGAACGCGAACGAGATACATTCGTAACGTAGAGCTCGAGCGTGGTGTCCAGCGAGAGCTGAAACTCGGACAGCTATAAATCGATTTATATATATGTAGAGATGGAAAACGTAATTGTATGCGATAATATAGTTCCTGTATTATACTAAACAATAAAATAATATAAATTTAATATAAATTATTATATAGTAGCTTTATATTATTAGATAATAGTACGTTACTGCGAACCAAAAATTACACGTATTGCGCATTAATATCTGTCGTAATTAATCGTCGATGTCGATTCGAAAGGGGCGTGCATCCCAGAATTCTAGAAGGTTCACTCAAGGAACGTTGCGGTAGGATTCGATTATCGATCGAGAAACGAAGAGCGTACGGTAGTGTCGAACAAGGACAATAAAGAAATCTAGTGAATAATTTACGTGCGTCCTCCTTTTCTCTTTTTGTCGGGGGAGGAGAAGATGAAGGAAGAAAGGGGAAAGGGAAACCGAGTAATCGGAAGTCGATAGAAATTACGCGGATTTTGCACGGATTCAGTTTTCGAACGTTAAAACGCGTTTCGCGTATCTTGAACCAAAGTTTCGATAAACATTGATTTATACATTTCAAACGTTTCTTCCAAAGTGAAAATAATTATTATCGCGTGTTGAGATTTAAAAGTGAAATACTATGTCTTCCATGTAATTGTTTTGTTTTCCTCCTTTTATGCAAATCGATTGTTTCTATTTTGATAATACATCTTCCGTTACAAAAGTTCGTTCAAGATTTATCAGACACGATGACGAAAGGACTGATTGACGAATTATTCATATTAGTGCCAAGTACAATCATGATACGTCGCGTATTTTTAGATATATGTACCTTTGTTATACACGATGTACTAATAGCTCGATTATCTTTGTTTTTGAAAACCGTTTCCCATGCACAACCTGAATAGAATTTTGTCAGTGACAATAGTTGTATCGATATCGATCTGTGCTATGTATTCAATCGTGAAATGTAAAGAAAACATTCGAACCAGTGAAACATCTATGGAAATTAAAGATATAACTGCAGGATAAAGTGATTCGTAGTACAACGAATTTATTGGTTTATTAGACGACATATCTTTGTCTCTTTCGTTGTACTATTGATTACGCCTGTAAATATTTATTAAATTATACAAAGTATCTCAGAATTATTTTGTAAAAGATATTTTCGAATTGTTACGTCCTTCATGCGTTCACACTTACTACCATTATAATTTCATACTTTCATCGTTATCTTTTATTAGTCCAAAATAAACGGAAACGTGGACATTCAGCGCAAACATTATTTATTCTCGCTAAATACTATTAAGCGATTTCGTTTTAACTTAGGTGCACTGTAATAAATGTTTACATGATAACTTCGTTACACCCGCTTAATTTATTTAATAAGGCATATCAGTGAAATTATGGGATCGTTAGTATTCGTCAAAACTGTATTCTCACCTAATTTATTATTGTAAAATTTATCTCTGAAATTCTTTCATCTGTCAAAACCTTGCAGCTGTGCAATGATTATAAAATAAAGTGTAATGTTTAAAACAGTTTTAGACGAAAATTTATATAATGTATAATCTAGAGAACGTACCAGTCACTGTATACAAAATACAGGAGACTAAATCAAGAAATATTATAATTGGAGGATAAATGCGAATACAAAAAAATGTTTAATACACATTACATTTGTATATGTAAAATTGCATATAAGCTTGATATAAAACATATTCGAAATATTGTAATAAATGTAACACAGTGTCTGAAAGTTTTTCACAGATTAAAAAGTAGAAATTTACAAACATTAGTTTTAAATAAATTAATGGCATTGATACTAACGTCGGAAAATATATAAGGTGTCCTGTAACTGGTGGTCAAATTGGAAAGGAAGCGATTCTACATAGAAAAATAAGTAGAAAGGATAAAATAAAATTTTCTATTCAAGATCACGTTTTCGATAAAAGTGTCAATCTTCAGTTTCTTACAAAAAAAAGCCTTAGTTAATTAAATTTTATTCTGTTTTTTAGTTATTTTTTAAATAGAATTATCTCCTTCAGTTCTATCACCAATTACAGAACCCAATTACCTCTATTACAAGGAGTGTTACAAACAGTGGTAGCGCGAGACAATTAATTTCATTTACAATTCTTTCCAAAGTTCAATTTAGAATTATTTCCACTCTATGATCTGCATCATCGAGCCGTAATCATATTTTCTTATCCGCTATCATTAGAAGTAAAAGACGTAGACTTGTGGTATTAAAAATCATCGCAGTACTCTGTAATAAGCTTGTAACCCTTTGGGCAAGTCCAAGAAGCAATGAGAAATGAAATGTTAAACGAAAGTCCTTCATTCTTTCTACGTTCACTTCCTTTATCTCTTTTCCGTTCTCGAGAAGTAGAGGAACATAAAGATTGCGACTATTTCATTTTTACAAAACTCAACCCTTGGATTCGCCTAAAGAATAGAAAGAAGCGTCCGACAAAATGGTAGGAATTCAATCGCGAAATCCTCCCATTTCTTGCGTTTGTAGCCTAACAATAAGCTTAGAGGAATCACGTACTGTTTCGTGGAACACCCACGACATATTGCACGACTTATGTAAGCGTTTTGTAAAGTACATCCGAGAGGACACAGACCGATGTAACGGGAGCGAGCGTGGGGCACATGGCTCGTGTAAATGAACAATAAGCGTCTCATTAGCGTTTCGAGGAACTTTAACGTTCAAGTTTCGTCGACGAACATAATGAAAAACGAGCGATCGAGAAACGTGGAATAGACCGAGCAGGAATTTTAAGAGACAGAAACAAAAATCATGCAACGCCGTACCTACTTTGAGATCGGTTTCGCGTTAGCAAATTTTTCCAATCGAAGACCGCTTGAGGTGCTTTCTTATATGTTTCTCGGGAAAGCATTATAGCGTGGAACCGGTGTGAAATGTAACCGACACACCGATCATCGTAAAGAGTACGACAGTCGGAGGATGCCGTTTCTGCGAGGGGACATTAAAAATGGAGATTCGCACGCGAAAACAAGATTAGCCCATAATCATTAATTAATTTCTAAGTTACGAGAATGCTTTACCTAGGTGGTAACGAAATGAATTAACTTATAAATAAAAATGAATAAATTTATATGTATACATATTATATGTATTCACAAGACGCCCGTGTCTTGTTATATGTATATATACATATGTGTCTGTATGTGTGTATGTGGATGTATATACATACATATACATATATATCAGTTAGCAACCTACATTCAAGACTGTGGAAACATCATAGGTGTATAAATGTTTAAATAAATTATTATAACGTGGCAACCGTTGGTCTTTCCATTCATTGATCCTAAACCCCATCAGATGATAGAAAATTTTGAAAAATTGTTTAGAATAATATCGTACTTAGTTAATAGAATAAAATGATTTTTTTTTAAGTTTGTAGACTGAAAGATGATTTAAAACAAGTTTTTTTAGTAATATATTAAAAAAAATAATATAATATAATATTCTATTTTTTCATATGTTAAACATGCTTTCCTCTTATGTAAAACTTGGTAGGATTTTAAATGCAGCAGACATGTTTCTGTTTCGTTATAGTTTTTGTGAATTAATATATGAAGATTGATATTTGTAGATGCTTCTAATTATACATAACAATGTAAAATTATTATTCATTTAATTATATCTAGAAATATAAAATTATGAATTATTAAATATACTGATAACTATTCCAAGCAGATAAAAATTGAATAAACAAAGATGCTGAATTATATGAGAATAACTTACATGATGATGCATTCAATAGTGATTTCTTTTCGCTATGGATACAAATCACATATAAACAATGCATACACAGATTGTTATTAGTTTTTTATTAAGAAAAGTAATAAAATTTCATGTAACAGAAATTTCCCACCGTTTTAAATAAATCAATCATGGTTATTACTACATGTTTTAGTTTTAATTCCGTGGCAGCACCAGTCGATTCGATTGCATAGACATCTAGCAGTTGATGGTGCACTTTCTTAGAGTGCATGACGTGCATTGATTTTGAGGTTATGTTTTTTAGTGTAGTTTGTAAACAATATCAGGAACAAGCGTGATAAATTAAAATTAAAATTGATAAACATTCGTTTTAAATAAAATGATTAGTATTTAATATGGAACTATTTTTACAAATTTTTATTGAGTGTAATAAGCAGTAATTTTATAAGAATTCATGTGACACATTAATACAGCGAAATGTATTTAAAAGTTTTTATAATTTTGTGCATTTTTCACTTAAATTATGCTTCAGAGGTTTGTATACTGAAATTAGTAATTATCTTTTCACTATTTGCTTTATTAATTATTTGATATTACTTATCTAGTTCTAACCTTTACAGATACCAGAAGATTTTGTAAGGACCGGTCATTCCAATAATTGGGCGGTTTTAGTCGATACTTCACGTTTTTGGTTTAATTACCGTCACGTTGCAAATGTATTATCCATTTATCGCAGCGTTAAGCGTCTAGGAATACCAGATTCACAAATTATTCTAATGATAGCAGATGATATGGCTTGTAATCCAAGAAATCCTAGACCAGCTACTGTGTTCAATAATATCAAACAACATATTAATGTCTATGGAGACGATGTTGAAGTAGACTACAGGGGCTATGAAGTCACTGTAGAAAATTTTGTTAGATTGTTAACAGGAAGATTAGCTCCAGAAACACCAAGGTCAAAGAAGTTATTAACTGATGAAGGTTCTAACATTTTAATTTATCTTACTGGTCATGGTGGAAATGGGTTTTTAAAGTTTCAAGACTCAGAAGAAATTACTAGCCAAGAACTTGGAGACGCATTGGAACAAATGTGGCAAAAGAGAAGATATCATGAAATCTTGTTAATTGTTGATACTTGTCAAGCAAGTTCGATGTATAAAAAGTTCTATTCACCAAACATTCTGGCTGTTGCTTCCAGTTTAGTGGGAGAAGATTCACTTTCTGTAAGTGATAATATTTTATTGTTACATAGTTTTCAATTTACACATATGATTGTAACATTATGTACAATGCATAAAATATGTCAAATCATTTTTCTTTTGCTAATAGCATCACTTGGATCCTGCCATTGGAGTTTACATTATAGATCGATATACATTCTATGCATTAGACTTTTTAGAAAATGTAGAACCATCTAGCACCAAAACTTTGGGAGAGTTTGTAAGTTCTATTAAGACTGAATTTTATGCTGAATAGAACCAATAATAGGAAATTATTTTAACATTACTATTTTTTCTCTAGCTCAAAGTATGTCCTAAGCATTATTGCTTATCAACTGTAGGAGTAAAAAGAGATTTGTTTAGAAGGGATCCCGACAAAGTACCAGTCACAGATTTCTTTGGTTCATTGAGGCCTGTAGAATTAACTACGAGTATTATGAACGTTTTACCTGTTAAAAGGAACAAAACTATTGAAGTGGAGAAAAAGTATTCTTATACTCCACAGTTTCCAGATATATCACAATTTACATAGTATTTAGACAAATAAATGCCAAAGTTATAAAACAGTCATTTTATTTTTAATTTAAAAGTGCTTAAACAAATTACCTAATACAGTGTCAGAAATGTTCTTTCCTAATAAAATTGAATTTTTCCTCATACTGCGTATGATTTCGATAATGCCCGTGTTCTTAAGCTTGTTAACGAAACTGCAGCTACTCGTTGTGCTTATCGATATAATATTTTTAAAAATTCTTACATTACAATCCTGTTATATTTCTTTATTTTTTTATTTCGTTATATTACATTAGCCATGAAAATTATTTCGGTATATTACGTTATAGTGCGGTAAGTCAACTAATATAATGAACTTCCATTTCGAATCATTTTGTTCTCTACCGCCTCAATTACTATTTTATTTGTTAAAGTATAAAAATTTGTAAGGAGAGATGTTCATTTCTAAAGTTTGTATTTTCCTTATTCAACCAATCGATCAAAGGATTATGACTCATAATTAGAAAATAGTAGACACAACTGTTTCCGTAAGAGCAGTTTATATAACAGAGAACAGAATTTTTTAATATCATAGTTGCATGATCTCAGTGCTATTATTTTATAACTAATCGTACTGTTTAATAGCATTTTTGCATGCAATGTTAAATAACAAAAAGTTAACATTATATTTTGAAAGCATATTTTTTAATTTATTGGTTTCATGACAATTTTAATGTTTTAATGAAATTTGAAAGCACCTGTTTTAAATGCGTTTAAGAATAGGCTTTTCAATTATAAATGTTAAAGGAATTTATTTTTTTTATAAAAAGTACATTCCTAGTTGTCGTTGAATAAAGTTCACGATCATTGAATAGGAAGAACTTCACCTTCTGCTAGATACGCGGGAATGGTCATGGTCACAGTTTTGATTTCTAGAATTATCTATGGTCGTTAAGAAATTGTCTGCGTTTATCGTCCGAGGAAAAAAATCTGATTCGCCGTATCGTCAGCGATGTAAATATTAAATATTTCTCAGTATCGTATCTCTTGAATGTAAGTCAACATTATACTCCGTCTATCAGTGTGATAGTCTTGAAAATCTACATAATTATTTTGTGAATTAAAAGTAAAGAAAAATGGTGAAGTTCATAACGCATATATAAGTATGATATGAGACAGTTGACGACAGTTAGTGAAGCGCAACTGACACGTAAGCGTGGCATTTGCTCAGAAATCTTTCTTGTGATTTATCTGACTTTTCACATATCATTAAACGTAAGTACTGCAACAGTATCAATATTAATGATCACGTCAATCCCTTTTCTAAATTTAATATTATTAAATAATTCATTTATGTAATTCTTGCACTCATTATTTCAAATAGTATGTTATTTCAAAAAGAACTTTTTGCAAAATTATTTAATGACGGTATATTTTTGTAAAGTATTTTAACGCTATTGTATTTGATTTAAAAAATATGATCATGCAATAATATAATTTGTTTGCTTAAATGAAATGACTTCAAATGAAATCAAGCAATAATATTTTATATTCAGTATATAAGATCGAGAGTAAATAATTAGTTTTCTCATTTAATTAATGATTAATATTCATTTCATACAAACACAGCAATATTTTATGGTCTGTTGAAATGAAATTATTTAATTTTTTTAACTATATTATAATTAATTTAAAACTTAGAGTAAAAAATGACAATAATAGATATAATAATAATTTAATTAAATTTTCAAATTTCGTGAACAACTTTTTATCAAGAGTGTTTAAAAATAAAACCGGAATAAAAGGTTTGTAATTTTTTGCAGTTAACATTATACATAAATAATAAGGCGAATAAAATTGTATCATTTCATATTTTCTTTTAATTTTGAAATCACTTTAATTTGTGTGTATCCTTTTAGATGCGTATCTTGAGTTCCGTGATTATCATTCTTGCGCTGTGCGTCTTGTCAATTGCGTTTACGCCGTACAGAAAAGACGACTTTTACGTGGACGTTCGCGAAGTTAATTCGCCTTTGAAGCCACTGCCACCGCAGGATCCAGCGATTCATTCGTTTCCAACGGTACCAACAATTCCCCTAGTACCAACTTGTATCAAAGAAGGATACCTGCGGGATCCATTCAACTGCAGAAAATTTTATTATTGCAAAAACGTTAACGCAATGCCAGCGGGATTTTACTGTCAGTCTGACCTTATATTTAACACGGTTACTAACGTCTGCGATCATCCTCAATACGTGGAATGTTGACCACCTTCTCGATAACAATTCTATAGGACTAATACTTCGGATTGTATAAATGTATTTATTAATTATTGTATGGCTGAGTGTAAATAATTTGTATTCGTGTGCTTAGGTTGATCTAATATTTAACTAATATTGAACTAATATTTATTTTACGGTCCAAAAGCACGACAGTATTCTTCGTTGCGCGATTATAAATTTCGTTTGTCAACTAAATTGCAATTAATTTTGAAATGTGTGTAAAAAGTGAGATTGAAGATAAAATAATTTACCCGGAATCTTATTATATCAAGTATTCCCCTCAACGGAAACAAATATTTATTAAAAATGCTTTAAAATAAAGAAGAACTACGAAAGGAGACGCGTTTTCTTTATTCAAACCCACCATCTAAGGACGAACAAACACATCGTCTACAATGAATCATGATTTTATTTGTTATATAATAATATCTACAATAAAAATACCACATCGTTTGAAAAACAATTTTCGTTACAATTATACAGTAATTTTATATAATAATATAATATTTAGGTTTTCGTTCCAAATAAGATGTAGCGATGAACATACACCTCGCAGTGGGGAGTGAGAAAATACATTTTTTTTTGTTGCAAATTCCACATTGATTTCTTCACTCAGTGTTACTTCATTCTTTTTTATTTCTCATTTGCAAACAGGAAAAACGGGCACACTCGAAACGACGTCGGCGCGCCGTGGCGCTTGTCCCGCCCTCGTTCCCGCTCGTTAATTCGGCCGGCGAAGAAGAACAAGAGTTTTCCCGTTTTCGCCCGGGGCGGCGTTCGTTTCGAGTGTCCCGTTCTTTATTATTATTTCTTCTCTCTCTATTTCTCTCTTTTTCTCTCTTTCTCTATTTTTTTTGTTCGTTTTTTACATATTTCGCGACGCGTGCACGCCGGTCCGCCTTCTTCACCTCCTTTCCTCTCTCCCTCTCTCTCACTCTCTCTTTCTCTCTCTCTCTCTCTCTCTCTC